TAGAATAGAATAGAATAGAATAGAATAGAATAGAATAGAATAGAATAATGAAAGAATAGAATAGAATAGAATAATGAAAGAATAGAATAGAATAGAATAGAATAGAATAGAATAGAATAGAATAGAATAGAATTCTTTATTGGCCAAGTGTGATTGGACACACAAGCAATTTGTCTTTGGTGCAAATGCTCTCAGTCTACATAAAAGAAAAGGCACAGTCATCAAGAGTCAAGAATCATAAGGTAGTGATAGTAGTGCAGATTTTGTAAATAGTTGGACAGTGTTGAGGAAATTATTTGTTTAACAGAGTGATGGCATTCGGGGAAAAACTGTGTGCAGTGCTCTATAGTGTCGTTTTAAGAGAAGGAGTTGAAACACTTTATGTCTGGGATGTGAGGGGTCTGTAACAGTGGTGGGATTCAATTTTTTTTACTACCGGTTCTGTGGGGGTGGCTTGGTGGGCGTGGCAGGGGAAGGAGACTGTAAAATCTCCAGTCGGAGGTGGTATTTGCTGGTTCTCCGAAGTACTCAAAATTTCCGTTACTGGTTCTCCAGAACTGGTCAGAACCTGCTGAATATACCACCTCTGGTCTGTAAATATTTCTCCAGCCCTCTTTTTGACTCCTGCAGTATACAGGTCCTCGATTGATGGCAGGTTGGTAGTAATTGTTTTTTCTGCAGTCCTAATCATTCTCTGAAATCTTTGTCTGTCCTGTTGGGTTGCAGAACCAAACCAGACATATGAGAAATCCCTGTGGAGCATGACTTCGGGAATTCTTCCTAATCTTTTTACAAGCAGTGGCCATAGGAGGAACTCTCTGTGTGTACGGTTGTGTAGAAGTGTGTACTGGGAAGCACCAGATTAGCTGCCCATGCTCTGCTCTCTGTGGGAGGGGAAAAACTGGCAAAAGGAAAGGCCAAATTTTAAAAACTGGCAGGGAAAGCCAGGTGGCTGAGAAAGTCGTCGCCCCCCCCCTCCCGTTTTTCCATTCTAATCTGGCTGACTACATCACCTAAATCAGGGGTGGGATTCTACCAGTTTGGTCCTGCCCCTCCCAAAAGCGGCCCATTTTTGATGCAGGTAAGTGCAGGTTCCACGCGGAGGCTCTGGGAGGGGGGGGGAAATGGGCCTTCCGGAAGTCTGGAAACAAGCCTGTTTCCGGCTTCCGGAGGGCCTCCAGAGTCCTCTGGAAGCCATTTTTGCCCTCCCAGAGACCCGAGAGAAGCCTCCGGACTCTGGGGAAGGCAAAAAAACGGCCTTCCTGGACATTCCAATAGGCCACACCCTCCCAGCAACTGAGCAGCAAACCAGTGGCTGGGATTTTTGAATCCCACCCCTGGGCCCAAACACAGAGATGCGCCATAAGGAGAAAGCACATTGCAGGTACAGGCAGACACAGAACGAGGCTGTCCCTGCCCACTGTGCTCGCCGGTGGCACAGAGGTTGGGAGAATCCCAGAAGCCCATGCTCTGCAGACTTTCCCTCCCTGGTCTCCATTGATGGTCCTTCTCTCCCTCTCCTAGAGACGACGTGCATCAGGTGTGCTCAGCCTTTCATATGTGTTTGTGTTTTTACCCCCTCCCTTTTCATCTTGTCCTTCAGGCTTCCTGTCTCAGTTGGTCTACGAGCGGCCGTTGACAGAGTGCATCCGTGCCGGGCACTACGCTGCCAGTGTGATCATCCAGCGTTCCGGTTGCACCTTCCCGGAGAAACCTGATTTCAAATGATACCGGCACGCTGAGGGCTCCATAGGAAATGCTGCCGACTTCCTGTCCCACTGTGACCCTGCACTGGCATTTCTGTACTTCTGTTCATTTAGACCTCGGACACATCTCTTGGATGATGCCCTTCTCCCCGCGTCATCATCATCATGTTGGACTGCAACATCATGCAGGGTGCAGTTTCTGGTGCCCTGTACATATCTCTCTCTCACAGACACACACACACACACACACACACACAGAGTTCTCAAGGGAATGCCAAAATTCTTCTACTATCCTGAAGTTTGACCAACGCTGCTTGCCTTGGCCAGAAGAGAATTCAGTTGGGAAATAAGTAGAATCACGGTACAAGTCTAAGAAATAGAATTGGTCCTTGGTGTGGTTTACTTACCTTCCCAGCTGAATCCTGGTTCTCTTGCAGTAATGAGGATTATAACCATGTTTCCTGGGGTGACCCAAGATTATTGTGTGATCTGGGGTAGGAAATTGGATGCGGGTTCCTCAAATGAGAGGTAGGACTTTCATTCTCCACGTTAACTTGGATTTTGGCTCAGGAATCTCATTTTCCCAGAGCAGGATCTGGATGTTTATGATAAGTGTAAAGCCCATAATAGATATATATATATTGTATTCATATATATATGTTATTCAGCTTTGTTCGGGTATTTTCCCACGTCATTATAGTTGTGCTTTTAAAGTTGTAGCAACGTTTCGGCAGAATCTCATCTGCCATCATTAGGCTTCTGAGATTCTGCCGAAACGTTGCTACAACTTTAAAAGCACAACTATAATGACGTGGGAAAATACCCGAACAAAGCTGAATACCATACATGTAAGTACCCGTGAAAACTTAAGAAATACACACACACACACACACACACACACACACACACACACACACGTATTATGTATAAACAGAGTACAGAAAATTCATGCAGGCTGTTTCTTTGGGATATGTCAAAATGTTTTATTTCAAACGCACAGTTTTAAGACAATAAGTACGTCAAAGAATGGAAACATCTTTATTTGTCTTACAGTATTCAAGAAAAGTGTTCTCCAAAGTAATTTACTATGTAATTTGATACTGATAAATAAAGGAATTGTGATACAGGCGTTCTCTGGGTTTTTAATGCTGTGATGGGGTTCTGTTGCAGTAAATAGACTCTTAAGTGGGAAGAATAACTGGACTGCAATTCATCAATGATGCTGATAAAAATACATAATTTACTGTAGAAAGCAGGAAAATTGATGTAATTAAGTAACCCAAACCTATAACTTTGCCAGTATTAACTTAATAGGCAGGGCGTTAAAAATACTGGTGATATTGATCCAGTAATGAAAATCTAGTGGTGGTTATTGAAATAAAATGGTCTTCGTTTGGAAGCCAGCAGAATTTCAGAACTTCCCATCCCCAAGACAGAACCTGAGAAAAGCTGGATATGGATCATTATTTTATGGCAAAACTTTCCCATTGGCCAAGCTAAGTAACTCCAGGTAAGAGAAAGCTGGTTAGTTGAAATTTTACATTTCAGCATAAAATGCAAACCGGTGGCGGTTAATGTAATAAAATGTATATTCATAGCTTTGGGCAGCCAAGCATCAGTGACCCCCCCTTTCTCTCCCACCCTCCCTCTCTCCCTCTCTCTCTCTCTCTCTCTCTCTCACACACACACACACACACACACACACACACCATTACATCTGTTCTCCTTTTTGTTCACCCAACTAGTTGAGTTCATCTCGCCTCTCTCGTGCCGTGCGTAAGAAAAATACCCTCAGGATTCCAGTTTTGAAATGGAAAAAAATAACACTGCCCAACAGAGGCGTGTAGCAGTTCAACTGTGCAGGGAGAGCAATTAATGTAAAGCCCTCTCACAAAGAAGCCAAAATAATAAAAAAAAACAATTGGCCTTGGTAATTCACATGTCACTGAACCAGCATAAAGGATGAGACGTCCATTGTGGCAACGGAGATGGCCAATTTCTCAAGCTGAATGAAAAGTTGAGAGATCAGAATAGCAATTGGGGGGGGTGTGGGGTGGGTTTCCTTCCAGCTCCTGGATCCCAAGTGGAAGGACAGCTTCTCCAAACTCTGCAAATCTTTAACATCGCTCTTTCCCTCCCCGGTTACTGGAGTGAGACGGTTAATAGCCATCGGTTGCCAATGCTGCTGAACAATCAACTTTCTCGGAGAGAAAGTGAGTAGGAAAAACAAAGCCATCTAAAACTCTGCAAATCACAAATACGCTGTGCGCACAAGTCATTGTCCAGATGATCTGGTGAGTGGTTGACCTGCACTATCTTTCAAAACAACTTGAGAGGCTGTGGTGTCCATTGTGCTAAGTTTCGCACACTTTGGAATTGTGATTGTCCGTGTGCGCGTCAGGAGACATGGGTGGTAGATGCGTTTCCTGCAGCTTCTAGTAGACATCACACCTCTTCTTTTGCAATGCTTCTTGTTAACTTTAAATATAAATCTAGACAGCATACTAAAAAGCAGAGACATCCCCCTGCCAACAAAAATGCGCATAGTCAAGGCTATGGTTTTCCCAGTTGCAACGTAGGACTGTGAAAGTTGGACCATAAAGAAGGCTGAGCACCAAAGGATGGAGGCCTTTGAACTCTGGTGCCGGAGAAGACTCCTGCGAGTCCCTTGGACTGCAAGGCCATCCAATCGGTCAGTCCTAGAGGAGATCCACCCTGACTGCTCTTTAGAAGGCCAGGTCCTGAAGATGAAACTCAAAAGACTTTGGCCACCTCATGAGAAGGAAGGACTCCCTGGAGAAGACCTGAATATTGGGAACAAGCAAAAGAAGAAGGGGATGGCAGAGAATGAGGTGGCTGGATGGAGTCACAGAAGCAGTCAGCGTGAGTTTAAATGGACTCCAGAAGTTGGTAAAGGACAGGAAGGCCTGGAAGAACATTGTCCATGGGGTCATGATGGGTCAGACACAACTTCGCAACTAACAACAACACACTTTAAATATGGAGGGAGAAAGGGACTTCCTTATCTATGGCCTAGGAATGCAGCAAAATACTCTTTGAAGCATTTATATTAAGTGCAGTTTTTAAGTGGGCAAAATTAGGTAAATTAGAAATATTTGATAAATCATTGGAGCTAGTTTAAATGCATTGCATTAAGCAGAAATGGGAATCTTCACTCGCACTTCCAGTCCAATTGTGCAGAACAATCTAGTGTGGGTTTTTTTTTTTTTCTTCTGGTTATGCTTTGTATTTATTGCTGTCTTTTCGTAATGCGTTTTCAAAAACAAAAAGGTTGTCAGAAAAGATACACATCAGTTGGACTTTTCCCCATCATGTTTCTTCAATAGGAAGACTGTCAGGTGCAAGCAGCCAGATCCACGGGTGAAAGTTCAAGATCAGTACTTTATTGCTTTCTGCCTATAATACAAGAACCTCCCCGGACTTCTTGGGAACAAAAGATAAGGTTTCATGGAACTTGGGGACTGGGAGATGGGATCAGGTGCAAGTCTCTTGCAGCTCTCCAAGGACTCATGACTAGTTGATCCCTCTCCCTTGCCTGACTGAGGGTTTCCCAACAAAGACTCTGGTCATCTCCTACAGCTTTGAGTGGCCGGTCCTTTCCCCTCTTGGAAAAGGCATAGATTGACCTGAAGAAGCTGCCTCATGTATCCTCTGGTAGAGAAGACCAAGCTGGCCTCAGTTGGTCTCCCAACATAGACCTCACCTGCAAGGGAAAAACCCTGGCTCTCTGTAGGTGCCCTGAGGAACACCTCCAAACACAAGAATAGCAATAGCACTTAGACTTATATTACCACTTTACAGTGCTTTCACAGCCCTCTCTAAGCAGTTTAGCCTCTTTCCCCCAACAAACGACCTTGGAAAGATGGAAGGCCGAGTCAACCTTGAGCCTGGTGAGATTTGAACTGCCAAATTGCAGGCAGCCGGCAGTCAGCAGAAGGAACCTGCAGTACTGCACTGTAACCACTGCACCACCACAGCTCATTGATTTCCTTCCCTTCATTTAGCAGCTGTCTGTTACCTCAAGTCTTTACCCTGAGGTAAAATATGTGCCGTTTCCCCCCCCCCCGCCCCCCAATTATTGGGGCAGAATAGCCACAAGACTTAAGCAGAACGTGCCAAACTGACTCAGGTCAAGAATTGCGTTGTCTTCCTGGAAAGTTGAAATAGGGATTTTAGGATGAGCAGACAGCAGTGGGTCTCCAGGTGCTGGACTTCAACTCTCGTAATCCTCATCTATTGCTCATCCTCTCCAGGGAGGAAGGGAATACGGTCCAGTAACTACTGGGGGGGGTTCAATGCAGGGAGCCAATGGTTTAGAAAATAGGATTAAATAAAACAAAAAACAAAAAAGATTAGTTCGCCAGCAGCTAATAGCGATGACAACTATCTGTCTGCTCCAGAATCCTCCACTGAGGAGTAATTAGTGGCGAGCAGCAACAGAAAGTAGCTGTTGCCTTTTTATCTCCCTGGCTGGGGACTCCGGGACTAGCAAGATGGATTAAATGAACCTTAGCCCGATCCTACAGGGATCTCCTTATCTTCTTTTATATGCATGAGTTTGTGGATTTTAATCCTGAAGTGTTGTCTTGGCAGAGAGGAAACCTTTGGAATAAACTTGGGTGGGGGCCGTGCTGGTTTGCAGCCGTCAAAAGTTGAAGACTTGCCTTTTTCCTCACAAAATTTCCTAACCATTTTCTCTTTGGCCAAGACTTTTCTGGCCTTCACTAGTGAGAATTCCTGCACGGACTTCGGCAGAAGAACCAAATACATTTCAGAGTCCACAAATGGCTACGAAAGCCTTAATTTTATGAAGACGGGTTAGGAAATGCACAAACTCATAGTTATACGTGGTGGCTGTCGATATCCTTGGTAAGGAGTCTTCCAATCCTTCGGTGCTACAGAACAAAAGCAGAAGATGCACCAAACAACGAAGTTCAGGAAATGCGGAGTTCAAGAAATGGGGTGACATGTTGAATTGGTGGCTGTTGTTGTGGCTCACCGGCAGCCGGTGCAGACGGCAGCGGAATCAGACTGTGGGGAAGAACGGGGACCAGTCAGGGAGCCTGGAGAGGACTCGGATGAGGGTCCTGTGTCCAATGCAGAGATGGGGCCAGGACCATCTGGGAGTGCTGCCTCCAAAGCCTCTGGAGTCTGGCAGCAGTGAGGCAGAGAACCCAGGGGAGCCTGTTCCCAGTGTGTGTATGTGCAGAGCTGCCAGAAGGCAAGAGCAGCTGAGACAAAAGGGGTGACTCGGGAGTAAGACTTGGAGGTGATTGCCCCTCCCCTAAAGTATAAAGGAAGTGCAAAGGTAGAGGAACCTTTGCAGGAAGCAAAGTCGTTCGTTCGGTTCAGATTCATTCTTGAAGCTCTTTGTACTTCAGCTGGCTTTTTTTTCTAGTTCATTTGACAGTTCTGTTATTGGCAGCACTTCTCAGGAAAGAAAGGTGGGTGCTTATCTTGAGGGACTGTTTGAGATTCATTACCGGCTGGGAATGAAAACAATTCCCAGCTTTGCAATAAAGTAAGTCTTGTTTTTAAAACAAGCGTGTGCATAGTTATGGTCAGAACAGGTGCTCAGTTGCTTCTGGTGTTATCCAGAACTTCAGATATGAACATAGAAGGATGTCTGATGTCTCTA